CTTGTATTTTAACAAGATTAAAATATATTTGTCCTGGAGATTAGCATAGTTAATTCTCCCTTTTTTTGGCTTTTGGGGTGGCAGCAGCAGGCTTTGATCAGTGTAGCACAGCGAGGCCCAGGCTTGGCCTGGCCATCCAAGGCCTGGGTGTGAAATTGGTCTGATGTCATCCCCCATTCTTCACCTTCATCAGCTTTCAGCCACCGTAATTATATTTCCGCCATAAAGCCCCTGTCCCTTTCATTCAATATTCCAGGTTTGACTGGGAAGAGTTTAGAGAACTATGGCTAAATTACTCAGTGGGGGGAAGGGGGACTGCCTTGGCCACCTTTTGTCTGACAGAGACACATGGGACATCAATATTTTGTGATATGTATTTTTCTTTTCTCAGCTCACCTGCCCTTTGCCTTTGCCTGTTGGATAGGTTAAGTTTATGACAGGGAGATGGGTGAACTTTGGGTAACTAAGATAATGTTTCCTCCTTGACCACAATGATCTGTTGCTGAAATATTAAGCAAAGATTTAACATGTGTCTCAATATGTGCATGTGTCTCAACAAGCAAAGAAGGCACTTGTAATGGGTTTTACTGTTACAACTCCAGAATTTATAGATCCTGACAAGTGGATCAAGACCTGTAGTTTACTGCATGTTGCTGCCACAGTCTTCCAATGATACAAAGATCCAAAACTGTGATAATTTAGTTTCTTAACTAAACTTAAATGAGATGAAATCATCTCAATTAAAATCCAATTCTCCATCATTTGAATTTGTCGTTAAAGAAGTTTCAGTTAAAAGAGCTAGTTAGTAGACTGTGAGATAAGGAGATTGTCTAATATATCCAGTCTGAAAGAAAAGCTTGGACATTACTTGACACATTTTCCCATAGATTAGAACAAAAAGAGAAAAACGTCATGCCTTCAGATTGATTTAAACTGGACTTTATCCACAGGTCATGTCTGAAAACAGCTCTATATAAATTTGTGAACACATCTAGCATTGATATTATAAGGACACAACTGCAAACAAACCTTTTTTCTTCATCTGTTTTCCAGTAAATGTAGAAGTTGGATGGTGAATGGAGATGTAGCAGCTTTTTGCAAGGACACCCAAAGCATTTTGACCTTCATTAAACCTCCCAACCCCCCACCCTCAATTTTCAAATGATAGCCCCAGCCTTCCTCATCCAAGTCATGAGTTGCTCAGCTTTTCAAGTCAGCGACTTTTGAGCGTAACTTCCACATACAAGCCAGCTAATAAAGAAAATGCAGATGAGGCCTCTGCAGCCATTCACAGGTCAGTGCCGCTGCCAATGGACGAGAACCAGACAACTCTGGCATTTTGTTGATGGTTGTCCCTCTGAAATACTGAGATGCATCGTTTTTCCTCTCTATTTTATTTTCTCCACTGTTTCTCCACCTCACTTAGATATTTGGATGAATATCTGATTGCAGTGATGCTATTGTTGGACTTTTTGAATTATTCTGTCCTCATTTGTTAGTCATGTGTTTTACATTGCCTTTTCTATTGTGACTTGGACAAACACATCATTGCAATTCTACATCACTATTGGAGTAATGTCAGAGTGGTTTAATGTTAAAGTTTGTATTGGATCACACATATTTAAATTACCTCGAGACACATATGGTCTTGACTTATGTTTGCAATTTCTGCCTTGGAAAAATGCTAAAGGTTTACAATTGTTGGTGTTAGTGTGTAATATTCAGATGGAGTGAATGTCCTGATCTCATTTGTTTTGTTTTAATAATGGGTAATGACTCAGTGACCAGTCAAGTCCATACCGGGACACTTTTTTTGGTTTTCATTGCAGCTAGAAGATGTCATGTTTCTGTAGACTGACCATATGGATTTGAATTGTGGTTTGTTGCATACAATATTGTTGTTTTCTTGGATCCAAAAGGATTATGAATTAAACATCAATAGAAAAGAAATCATGGCAGGGGATCAACTGACTTAGGTTCACAGTGACCATGCAATTCCCAGGCAGGATATTCTTCATTCAAGAGTGCTGAGGTCTGGATAGGATATTCAAGGGAATTTGATCACTGTTAAATTCAGTACTTTATACATGTATAAAGGTTTAGTACTTGTTTATCATTAGAATTGCATCTCTTCTGTTGAGTCTAAAACGAGAAGAACATAAGCGTATTTCAAATCTCATGTTTCTAATGCTTAAACGATGTGATTATGAAGTAGTAATCTAAATTAATATTTAATGCTTCACCATGCTCTTAAACCTTCCACCCATTGGAGTCAATTTGGGACCCCACTCACCTCAGCTGCTCAGGTGTATTTGTGTTATGTTTATGTGGAATCTGTGACTCCTAGCCCCCATCGGAATAGAGAAAAAGACAGGCAGTATAAAAAATACTTCAGCACTTCATTTAACATGTAAATGAATGCTTTAGCATGGCACCGGTCTATTTTCAAGAGCTCTGAGAGAGCTCCAAATTGGTCGCTTCAAACATGTATTTCATGTTTTTTTTACAATGATTCGCATGAGCCTAAATGTCATGTCACTGATTTTGTGTAAAAACCTGGTATCTCGAAAATATCAGGTCTGAGAAGTTTAGAAAAGCAGTTTGTTGGAAAAGGAGGCCACCATGTTTTTTACATTAGTCCAGACTGGACAAACTAAACACCTTTTGAGTTTTTATGACAGTTAAAGGCTACCACAAGTTCTTTTTCATGTTCGGAAGGAGAGGGTGAGGTGAGGGGTGTTCAGCTGCAACATGCAATTTCAACACTAGATATCACAAAATTCGACACACTGTACCTTTAATATACTTTTTTTTTAAATAAGAAACTATTTACAATGTGCCTATAATATAATATGACACTGACACAATGGTCAAGATAAAGCATCAAAACTTATAAAAAATGAAGGCCAAATTTAAAGGAGGGTGTGGGCTGGACCATGAATACCGAGTACGAGTGTTCATGTAATAATATAATAGTAAATACTGAGTGCCCATGTCATGATATAGTTCAGCTTACTGAATTTCCATGTAATAATGAGGAGTATTCATGAAATTATATATGAATAAATACTGAGTCGCCTATGGGTCGGAACGTTGCCGAGCTTCGCAGCTCCTGTGATTCCATGGTCAGATGCTAGATGTCAGTCAGTGACAGGAACGATGCTGTGGGTGTAGCAGAGTAGCTGCTGTCGCTTAAGGCATGTCTCAAATGTGAAATCTGAGGTGTTTGCTTAGTGAGAGAAACACAAGTTGTTTAAAAAGAAGAACTGATGTTTGGCTGTGCGGACTGCAGGGTCCTCCATGTTGTGTCTGCCTTCCTCGGCGATCTCATTGTTATGCTAATCATTATCGGCATGTTATCAAATCACCAATCATTATCACATCACCATCACAGCAAAATATGAAATGTCCCATCCATGTGGATTTTTTCTCGATTGTAGAATATTTTTTTCTGATGTTAGTTTCGGGTTATACAATAAAAACAATCTTTTAAAAGTCGAATTTGCATTGTTTTCGTTTATTCACCATCACACCATAATGATGTAATTATTTACATGTGGTACAAAACAAAGGGGGTCTCATTATTTAATCTTTAAAAATCCTGATATCAAAATCCCATTTACGATATAGAAAAGCCAGCTGCTCTTTCTACAATACTCCAAACATTTCAGTTTGTATTTCCATCACTTTTAAGGCAGAAGTTTGTCCTGGTTTGAAACTGAATGCAAGAAAAACGCACATGCTATAAACCGTAATGAAAATAAAAAGCATTCACAGCATCTTAAGATCACGATTTGGTTTGGATCCGTGTGAATTAGATCGAGTGAAGATGTTGCTTTCAAATATAAATCTTATTGCAGAAAAAGTAAGGTATGTGAACACCTCCAGAGCCCCGTCCCTTCACGGCTGTAGATGTTCGTCACGAGAGCCTGGAATGGGTTTTGGTTGAAGTTTCAAATGTGCTGGTAATTTAAAGGACAACAAAATGGGTTTTTCATTTCATGTTGTGGAAAAATAGCTAATTACTCTCTGTTGTGTCTAAAATTCAAATCAGTTCTGGACTCAGCCATTGTGTTGCACGTGGATTCGTTAAAGACCGATGTCATTACACAGTTGACCGAAAAGATGTGCGGCTTATTGCGCGATGAGAGCGCGCTGTGAGCGCACAGACACAGCAGTCAGAAGCCAGACGGAAAGGACAGAAAACGGCCACTAAAGACAGCCGGTGACAAACAGTGAGCTCATCTCTCACAGAAAAGGCATTGGATTTCAGCATGTTCTTTTCACAACCACCAAACTTCCTCACACAGCGCAACCTTGTGAGACACACGGGGCTGTAGTGTGTCCACTTCACCTCTCCTTTCTCTTGAGTTCATCATCTCCACTAGATGTTGATGTGTGTCCAGATATTTGGACCCGACTAGGCTGCATTTCCCACGTTTCACCGGATCATATAGTTTATTGTGTTTGCAACGAGGTTGCAAGGGCATGATGGCTGGACTGTAATAAAATATTCATTTGTATATAAATGCATAGGCCAATTTCATCTTAGGCTAATTTTAAGACACACGCACGTACACACACACATCAAATAGTAGCGTTCTGAGACCAGAGACACAACTGGTAAATCAGAACTAATAAACAGCAATAAATCAATAAACGTTCTTTGGCCATTGTGTGCCACACAGCACATGCTATTTTCAGACCCAAAATCAGAGATAAAGTCAACTTCAGACGATGCCTGGGCAACAGAAGGTTAACAGTTCACAGTGGTGTTGTTTTGACAGTATGTCTCCGAATACACACGGTCTGTAGGCTATGTTGGTACGGGTGCACATCCGCTCCGAAGTCTGACCGTGACATGAGCACAGTACCACACTTGACTTAGATTGACACACACACACACACACACACACACA